ATCAGATAAGATCAGATAATACAATAAATAATCGGCATTAAATAAAAGTGGGTGATTAGTGAGATATACAATAATGGAGACACAGAGATTGTGATATATGCAGGGAGCAAGATAATTTAAAAAGTGTAAAAAACAATGTAGCTGATATTGAGGAGGGTAAGCTACCAATGACACTGATAAATATAATGGAATAGAAACATTGGGTAATATATAAGCCTAATATAATATAATTATGATTCATTTATCATTAACATTATGAACAATAAAAACTGGGTAGATGCAGAGAAGTGAAAATTTATATTGTAATAGGGCTATTTAATTTTCATGAGCTGTGTCCCCTGATGATGGAATTCATATTCATGCAGCCGTAGCTTATTTTCACGTTGCTTTCGTTGAATATTTTTGGTTGTGTCCGTATGGGAATTGTTCTAGAAATATCATGTTTTCTGTACGATGTATCCACCGTCCTACAATAATTGGTGGTTGTACGTGGGTGTGGCTTACAATGAAGGCATCCTCTGATTGGATGAAAGTGTCGATATCCTTCCCAGTGGCTATGGGAATCTGCTTTGTGATCGATGGATTTGGCATTGATTGATGTACATGCGTTGGTTTCCTGGTTTTCGACAGATGATATGAGTCTGAAGAAGTTGAGATGATGTCCACCTGATTGACTGATTTCAGGTTAGTTGTTTCGACTGTGATTTTCAGTTTATAAGTTTATAAATGTTTTTTCCGTAACTTGGCCAACGGTCTGCGTTGCTGCGTGAGCAATTTTTGAGAATTGCCAGGCCATCGTCGTCAACCCTTTAGAGTCTTTAGACTGGCTAGGCTTTAGGCCTTACACAAGTTTGGTTTCTAACTAAAGATGTGCATGGATAGGCCTACCACAAGCTCGCACACTTCCGCACCGTCGAATCTGATCCCATCTTCTCTGTGGGCGTTCGTTTATAAGTACTCTCTGATTGATCCCAGTTGTTTCGTGAAAACCAAAAGGAACCAGGAAAGTGATTAATTCTATATATAGGTAGGGGCCTAGGCCTAGGCCAATAATATTAACATTAAACCATGGAGGTATTGTTCAATATAATACCTCCATGATTAAACAAAGGTGTTATTAATTTATTAAAGAGATATCATGTGAGTGTAAGGGTAAATAGGTAGTATTATTACTTAGTGCCCTTGTGATCTGGCAACTGTACATTTTAATAATATTAATTTTATTACGTTGCTAGTCTATCTGTAGATAGTCTGTCTAGGTATCCCACTCAGGCGTGGCCCATCTAAGGCTTACTGGCTAGGCATACCACTAGGAGGGGGTGGGGAGGGCTAGAGCATAAAATGTCCTTGTCAGTTTTTGGAGTGTCATTTTAGAGACCTAGCCTTGCTACTTTATACGCGCGCACCATTGTTAAAGCATGCCGCATGGAATGTTAGGCCCTAGACGTAACCTAGTTTAAGTGTGGAGAATAAATCTTCCGCGCAAAAATTTTTCATTGAAATCCATCAACGCATTTCGGAAATTAGGTGCGGATTAACTGAAAAGTCTTTTTTGTGTATTATGTCGTGTGTAAGATGGTATAATATACTCCAAGTATGGAAATGAATTAATTATGTTATAATATCAAGAATGATTTTAATCGGTGGACCTTTCGGTTTTTATGTTGTGCGTCGTGGTGGATTTGTCACATCTGTTTGTAATTTTCATTGTTTAACAATAACTTTTAATGTCTTCATGGATTCTTTTTTAAGTAATGTATCAATAGAAAGAGCAATTATTAGACATTCATTCCTGTGATTTTTTTTAACAAATCAAAAAAAAAATATATTTAAGGGTTCCTGTTTTCTTGGAACAAATGGCAGATCGAGGGGAGATGTGGAGGCTCAAGCGTGGAGGTCAATCGCCCTATGGTCATTCCAGCTCAAATCTACTGCCATGCCCATGTCACAACACCCCCCCCCCCCTTCTCCACCTTGGATTTTCATGCAAAAATTCTAATACAATACCTTGATATGACACAAGAAATAATCCAAAATTTCAGATCCAATTGCTACAGTAAATGGTTTTTAAGTTACGGCCTTTTGAAATTTAGGTACCACACGCCCTTTTTCGTGCCAGTAATGTCTCCTTTGACTTTGTACGATTTTTACGAAGCTATATCTCCTCGAATAACCAAAAAAAAAAATTGAAAATGCTACATTTCAAGGAATACCATTGAAATTTGGGTAGCATATTTTATTAGGTGAACGCCCCACCCCAAAAATCCCCTGAAGCACTGTACAAAAATAAATTTTCGCTTTTTCTGAGGGCCGTATCTTATCATACTTTTAAGTAATGAAGTTCAAATTAAAGCTGTGATGAAAGCTCATACTACTAAATATAGAAAAGTTTGCAAGGTAATTAGAGAAATTGAAGGTATGATGGGGTCCAGAACATAGTTCAGGACCATTGACCCTAAAAATACCCACTACTTTACCCAACCAGATGACCCAGTGGACACTTAGTATTAATTATGAAATTTATACCAGTAATAATAATAATAATAATAGTAATATACAGATACACATTGTCATCATTGTAAGCAGAAAGTTTAACGCATTGTTTCTTTACTCCTTCAGTGTGAACTGATTTTTCAAAGATAGACAGATTTTAGTGTTTTCTAAATGTCAGGTCAAAAGTTCAAATCACAAATAAGTCAGAGAGCTTTCGATTTGTGGGACAATGCAATGCTAGAACGGAATTACTCATGCGTGACCGTCCTACCTGGCGTCCATATACGTTTTCTGCGTACGTAGATTTTGCCAAATTGCGTTCCAGAATCTGCTCGACTAGGTGACCTTAACGTTTTTCGCATGTGAAGATGACTTTTACTGACGTCATTATGTTCTGCGTCCTACCGTCGTCGTGCTATCGAAAGCTCCCTATTTGTGACTTGAACTTTGACCTGATACCTGATACATAACAGGAAGGGGATTGTTCAAACTAGAAATGTGCTCGTTGTTCTCAAATATAGCATTATATATGTTGGGATTAATTAATTGACCAAGGTTGACGAGCATTTTGCTCTCTCACGATATGATCATGAAGATATCTTTCTTCATAGAAATAAAATCAGAATAAAGTTTTCTGCTGTTGAGGGAAAAGCCAAAGTTTAAACATACTGTTTGCGCTATTTTAAAGTGTATCTGATGTTTTTAATGTGTAGGTTCTTTCGATAAATTCTTTAATAATTGTTACAATGCTTAAAAATGCTTGTGCTTGAAAATTCAATTTTCGTTACATGTTAAAGTCTACTGACGTCAAACTTATTACAATTCAATTTTTATGAGTAGCATATCATTTGAAAGCCTATCATATGGAGATTTAAAAGCAAGAGTTATATTTTCAATTATTTATTTCCCTTTTGAATTTTGCAACCTTGACCTACAATATATTTTTCTCTCAGTTTTCAAGTTTTTTTGCATTTAATTTACATATAAATTATTTTTTCATTTAAAAATCGTTTTTATGGATACATTACAATGTAGGCTTTCCAAATATGTATACTTTTACTACTTTCAGATTAATACCCTTCAAGTTATACCAAGAAGTTGGCTTTTGTTGATTTGCTTCAGTGGTCATCAGGAGAATAATATCTACCAAGAGTCCAAACAGGGAAATAATTGATGATGATTTAATTGGAAGCTTACTGTTGATTGGTGGAAAACAATACCTGAAACTAGGTGTGAAATGTCTAAGACAGAAGCCAGTCTCACAGTGTGTGAAGGTGGAGGTGGGACGGGGAGGATATATTCTCCTGATATTATTTTCTTGATAATTGAAGCAACACAAAACTATCAAAGAAAGTATAATACATATTCCAAGTATTGAAATACACGCCATCGTGTTGGGATTCAATATTTCAACATTAATTATGTCATCATCAGGAATGGAGTATGTATTATACTTTCTTATCTACAAAACTATCTAGTGGTGTAATGCAAGCAAAATAACAAAATATTATGGTACTTTGCCATGCAAACCATCAAAGAATACTGAAAATACTTATAGACATAGACATAGATCACTTTATTCATCATGAGTTTAATATATAAGTCTCATGAAATTTATTTCCCTTGGCAGGAAAAAAACATCAAGAATGAATTTAACACTAGACCACAAGCAAAAAATACATAAAGAATATACAATAATAACAACTAAAAAGATGATTACAAAACTGTACAACAAGCAAAATCCTAACTAACATTGCCCATACTATTTTATTACCATTCTTAGGCCCACTATAATTTATTTTATTATTTTGCTGTACCATTATTACAAATTGATTAGTAGTAGGGCCTATTTATTTCTATCAAACCTCTAGGATCCTAGTTCTTAAAAAAGCAAGTTATTCTGGCCTGCAAGAACAAATTTGAAATATTTAAAAGAAATTAAAAGTAATAACCAATTGATGAATATGTTTTTTTCAATAAATAAAAGTCCTAAACACACCACTGAGCCAGTTTGAAGTAGGGGTGGTCCCTACCCAGAGCTAGAATTAAATCAAAGAACACCAAAGATTAGTAGTCTTTAGTTCAGCTAAATATGACCTAGCAGAATAAAAATAAAAACATTATCATAGACTTGTTTTCATTACAGTAAAACTGAGCTTTTACAGGCTATGTGTTTTTATGCTTTAATGCCCTGGTAATTGGTGGGTATAGGATGGGTAAAGTTACACAGAAAATGCCAGTTGTGTGCCAAACTATTGTTAAGTTGAACAGAATTTGTATGATTGTAAAAAAAATGACAGTACTGTGTTTTTGTAATGATTATTCCTGTACTGTAACAGTAACTTCCTTTTTTGGCTGGAAAATACTTCTACAGGATTAGTCCTACCAGGGAGTAGTTGGTGTATGGACCCCAAGCAGGTAACTATATTTGGCATAGGCATAAACATGGAGGTCCTTCATGAGATGCAAACATGAGAAGGAAGGTCAGTATGATAGAAAACAACTATACTTTGTAGAGAAAAAAAAGCCCAAATCAGGAAACAATACTTTCCACACAATTACACTTGAACAAAGAAAGGAAGACATATCAAGTTCTATTACCAGACACCAACAGCATTAAACATCCGGTGACCCTGCAGAATATCTTGGCTTGAATACCAGGGCCTAACAATTTCTGTATCAAATGGATACTGTAGAATATTCACAAATTAGAGTTTCAGATATCCATTAAATATGGCCTCAAAATGTGACTTTGTTGGAGATGCTTGGCCTCTGGACCCAGCTGGGGCCCCTTACCAGCCTCAGCCTAATGCTCACAAGCGCAGTCCCCACCCCTTCTCCATTTGAAAATCCTACCTTTGGACATGCAAACCATCTGATGAAATATGGTTTAAGTGTTTTTCAAATCTGTAACCCCTGCTTATTATTAGGTCTGTGCAACTATTGGAGGACTGCTTTGAATGCGATAATTTACCACTTATCATGCTACTTAAATCCTTCATTTCCCAACAAATTATAATTTTGCGAGAATCAAAATTAAGTGGTGGTACCAGTTGCGGAGTCAGGATTGCGGTCATAGAGAGCTCTCTCCAAAGAAACCTCAACACATTCGTTAGTGAAAAATTATCAGTGTATGTACTTTTACATAATATGAGGCTTAGATCAATTACAGGCCTTAAGCATTCAAAATCACTAAATTGTTAGATCTTTCAGGGGTTTTCCACCAGGGCCCCCTTCAAAGGTTCTGGGACTTCGCCCTTCCCCTCTGGTTGGACAAAAATTGGCGCTACCAGAAATAGAAGATCAATAAGCAAAAAACGATATTGGAAAGATGAAGTGTCTTAATAATTCTTCTTCTTTGCAAAATTAATAAATCAATCAAAAATTGTAATAAATTTAGTGTCCTAATAATATTGTGCTGTACTACAATTAAAATAGAAGAATTCAAAATTGTGTGGCCAGCAGGGGACTTAATCCACAGCATCTCCGTCAGAATTTTACTTTATTTCTATAAATTATAACAAGTTTGCTTGAAACCTGCAATGTTTATGGCAACAAAGTAAAAAAATATATTTAAATTGTTATTAAATATTTTTTTAATACAACTTTATATCATTGATCAAAATATAGTTTGATATACAATATAAATCAGAGTTGGGCATTTTTTAGCAAACTGAGAAAAAATGAGCACTTTAAAATTAACTTTAATTGGTAAAGTTTGGTATAGAAAACATTTAAGAGTGTCTCCCAGAGAGACATTCTTGAACAAAAGAAACTTTACAATTGTAACATAAATTGTTCCAAATTCCAAATTGATATTGGATGTATAATAGGTGCGAAACCAGCGAGTTAATTATAGAGGACGTGCTACCTCAGACAGAAAACATTGAGAGGAACCAGGAAGTCCAGACGAATGGGAAAATCCACAGTCGAAGGGGACGTAGGCCTACTACTATAGACAAGGTTTAGGCGAAGTTAATTAACAGTGAAATTATATATTTTTATTTAATATTTTTATTATATATTTTTATTATTATTTAAGTTCATTACTATTATTATTATTATTATTATTACAGGCCCGTAGCCAGCTTCTTCCAAGGGGGGGGTGGTTTTCTAGGCGTGAGGTCCACATTCGAAGCCCCGGTGGGGTCGGCAAAACCACCAAAATAAGATAATTTTTGTGCTTTATGGGTCTAAATAATGCTATAAAAGCAGATATGTTTGAAAATGTCTGTGTCTGGGTGGGTCTGCAGTGCATTAGTTGGGTTGGAGGACTTATTTGGGAAATTTAAAGACAGGGTTTTGCCAGGAAAAGGGGGGTTCTCCCGAACCATAAAAACCCCCCTGGATACGGGCCTTTATTGAAAACACATAAATACAGACCGATTTTGGTCACGGACCAATGTTTTTCCTGGACTATAGGGAGCGCTATGCTATTAAAAGAGAATGATCCATAGGTGACGGAACTAGGGGGTCCTGTGTTATGGAGAGTAATGTGTGAACAGAAATGGTCTGCATCAGTTGGTTGTTACCATGCGCCAGTGATGAAGGTTCAATCACGTTGTTGCCCAGCAAACGTCTGTACTGTATGTGGGGAGGGGGGTGGTGGGTGCTACTGATGTACCGATGTAGCGGATGATGATGATGCCAAGGAGGTATACATAATAAGACTAGGGCTAGGCCTAAGCCCAGGCCGAACCAGACAATGCAATAATGTGATAGAAAGTACACTTTCGAAAGAAATAAATTAAAATTAAATTAAAAAAAAAAAAAAAAAAATAACTAAGAGTAATTCAGTTGCAGATGTACCTTGTACGTATTATACAATGCTAACAATGCGGCTCTTGTATCCCTAGCTAGGACAAGGCATCCATGTGCAAAGCAGTGGTGTTTGTTTATCCATGAAAAAAGCATGCCGGGATAGTTTGCCTTACCAGGAAAAGGTGACGTAATCTAGCTTGTGACGTATGCATGCTAATATATTGTGAGTGTGACGTCACCAAAAAATGAATATTTTCTATTATAACCAAATAATTTAATAACTACAAGGTTTCTGGGCGTAAATTCTCTTAATATGAATTAAGGGTTGCATAATCTCCTTGCCATACAAATTACAGCTCCCACTGACGTCTCAGTCGAGAAATACAGGCAGCTGAATTTTTCTCGCAAATCTGACTTCGAAACCATATCCAAGTTTCACGTTCCACTTTTGACCCTGATTTGGAACGCCAAGGGCGGCGTTCCGGGAACCCTGCGTCTAGATCCATATAACATATATTTGGACGATGTGCTTTAGAAATCCGCTATCGAAACCGTACTGTTCTGTGGAGTGTGAATAGCCTGTACACATATAATAGTTTGTTTGTACTGTATTTGTTTGCTCTAGTAAACATTGCAAATAGGGGTTTAGCAGGTATCAGTGATATACTGTAATACTTACTGGTGTTTATTTCAAGATTAGAATTGATTTTAGCTTTTGAATAGAGGTATTATTTTCTAGAAATCCTAGCATACTTAGTTGAAGGTCTTAATTTTTGGGGTCTGATATTTTGAGCGGGTCTCATATCTCGTAATTCAAGGTCTTGCATCTTAGCTTTCGTAAGGTCTGAGCTTTTGGGACACTCCTGTAGGCAGGGAGGTTTTTTTTTCTATAATAAAACCACCCCCTTGATGCATGCCAAGTCTTCAAATCCCAACGGAGAGGAAGACCTCATTTAAACTTCCAGTGCAGTGTTTTATCAGGTGTAATTTATACACTATCCCCCACACAAATGACAAAATATTTACACAAACACAAAAAAAAAAAAAAAAAATTAATAAAGCTGAAGTTAAGTTATGGGCAGAAAGGTGATATTGTCAAGATTGAAGATTGTTTATTTATCCATTCGGAAAAGCAGTTGATACATTACATCACAAAACAAAGTGCAGGATAATTATAATTAGGTGTTAAAATTTATTTGATAGTTAAAGAATTCTAGTGAATAGTGGTACAAATATATTTTGCTATCTATTTGTTAGATTTGGGTTTTGACAAAAAAAAAAATAATAAAGATAGGTGGAGTGATTTTTTACAATATATTTTTATTTCCTGTTTCAAAATTGACTGGCAATACCAGGTGAACCTATGTTTTGGATTGTGTTTCATGCATGTATAACACAAAGCATTAGAGATTAGATTATTTGTCACCTTCAATTAACCTTACAATGCGGACATGTGTATTTTTCTTATTTTTGTCCGTTATAACAAAATCAAATAACACAATAAACCAACTGATTTCAAATTAAACAACTTTTTATTTTTATGTACAGTAGTTAAATGTTAAAATATAGTTTAATGAAACTCTTTTTGAAAAACAATGTAACTGCCATGATTAGACTTCCATTAAAAATCAGCCAAAAAAAAGAAAATACAAAACTGACATTTTGCATAGACATACTGTACGTACCTGCTGGTAGTCCATTGTCCAATAATGTTGTTTTTGAATGTATGCGGCTTAAACTTTGAATGGTTTGACTTTCATTAGCACAAACCTTGACCTTCTCACCACCACATGTATTCATAATAATAATAATAATAATAATTCTGGGTTTATATAGCGCCTCACGTTGACACAACCTCGAGGCCCTTAACAACAACAGAGAAGAAAAAAAAAATTGCGTCTTTTTCAGGTGGCTAGCTGAGGACAAACTAGCATATCCTGTGAAGGCTATTATGTTTTATCATTCAAAAAATTTGTGTACTGTACAGTAAGTGAATTGGATGGTTACAGCCATTGAGCTGGCATATGCTTCCTCAAACACTCCTCCCCTCTACACCTGCATGAGGTTAAGGATATGGTCATGTCTAGTATACCTGTAGGCCTGCCTTAGTTCTGGTTAATTCTCACAATTGTTTTAATCTATACTAAACACATGCTTTTCATACAGAAAGTTGATACCAATATATCCAGCCAGAAACAGAAGATGAAAACGGGCAATTATACAGTAAATTGTATTGCATGATTGTTATACTGCAGAGCATCTCGGTAATAAATATGTTAGCCATACTGTGCACACACTTAAAGAAGAACTGTTAGAGAACCATGGAGTATCTGCCCTTTAAACAGTGAGTATATGGAAAACATGAACCAATGATAAAATTTAACAAAATATATTTAAAAAATGATTTCGGCTAAATGGATTGACATAAATGTTATTTTGCAATCATATCTGGATCCAAAGAAATAATATGGTATGATTTTTCTTTATGATGGTTGAAAACAAAGATGCTTTTGATGATTTGTAACATACATAAAAAGTATGAATAAAAATTGATTTTGGAACTACTGTACTTATTTTCATGTAAAATAAAAAACTGTTTAATATTAAAATATTTTCGTAATATTGTTAACCCTGACGATGGTGATCTTGACCATGTCCAGGATTGCATTTTTAAGGAAGTACATTCTCGATTGTCTTAAGAATGTGGAGCTTTTCTGATTTCGGTGATGTTTCTGCATCCATCACATCCCTTGGTTACAGGCCTGGTGAAAATGTTGAATATTAAAATTCATCATTCAGGGTTAATGAAAGTAGTCATGTTATTTAATATCATGTCAAAGGAAAATATAATGTATGATTCAGTTACAAACTTTGCTTGTGTATTATTTCACAGAAACGTGTTAATTAAGGCTATTGATCACCGTGACTGGCAAGAAGCAAGACGTATCTGTGAAGAACATCCCAACCTTATTAACACTTATGACACCAGGATATGGGTGTGTATTCAGCTGATTATATACAATTCTGGGTGTGATTTAGTGATGAATTATCATTTTATTGGTTCTTCACTTCAGGCCTAAAGTTACTGTAGTCCCAAACATTGCCTTAAGGCCTGTCTAGACTCTTAAATTTTATTTGACGAAAACATGTGACATGCCCAAATATGGTGATGATGACATCACATTGTGACCATATTTGGGCACATGATGACTATATTTGGGCATACAACAGTTTTTTGTCAAAGAACATTTGACAGTTTTTTTTTTTTAAATTGAGCTTAAATCATTTTGTGGACAGAGCTTTAGTTTTAGTAATTATTAGCTGTGTGAGGCTTGTGTAGGCCACGGCTTGTGTAATATCCTCAGCTAGGAGGATTCAGTGCTTATGATGGTCCATCTGTTCAACTGTTCTTTGTACAGTGATTTTAATGTTTGCACAGGCAAATTTACATTCTTTCTCCACCCTACCCAGTTCCATTCCAATATGTTCTTTATCCTCACAACTGATTCCCAGCCAAATCCAACTTTTTTTGCTAAAATGGAAAACACAATTGCCAAAACATGCTGTAGCAAATCTTGGCTTGTCATTGCCAAGACAACTGTCTCTTATACACATCTAGATGTGTATAAGAGACAGGAATTTATACACTATCTCCTACACTATT